GTTAGAGATCAGCAATTTGAGAGAATTTGTGGACGTGAAGTTAACGTAGTTATAAATTAGTGAAGTACATTATTTAGGATAAATGAATGAATTTTATTTCACTATAAACAAAAAATAAAAATAAATTCTACAAGCGCTGAATAAATAAATAAATAAATAAATAAATAAATAAATAAATAAATAAATAAATAAATAAATAAATAAATAAATAAATAAATAAATAAATAAATAAATAAATAAGAGAGACATATCTGAAATACGCTGAATAAGCGACGATCACGGAAATAGTTTCTTGAACTAGTCTAATTCAGAATCCTTAAAATAATAATATAATAAATTTATAATTCTTAGTATTAGAAGAGGTGTAACTAATTTATTGATTGATTTAAAGGTCAATACATTTCTTGGATAAGTAGTTTGAGATGTCAATAAAAACAGTAATGTTGAAACCTGATTATTGTTTGTAATATATATATATACATCCGAACTCTTTATACTTCTTTCAGAAATTTTAGAAGCCCCGTTCTAATGGAAGGTTCTATCATATTATTATAATTGTGCGGGGAGTTAAACGCCCGGGGGTCCGATTTGTGGAAATACCTAGAACCCATGTCTGTGAAAGGGGTTTTCAAAATTACCCTAAACACGTTTTAAAAGGTCAAAATTTCGTACCCTTTTCACTGTTAGAAAGCTAAAAGATCACGCACCTTGAACTCGCGCCTGATCTCGCGATATTTGAGCTATCTAACCCTTCAGTGTAAGCACGGGTTGGTTATATGCCGTGATCGCCCGTGATCGTTTTCATCGTTTTTGCGATCATTGAATTCCTTAAAGCAATAAAAAAAAACGATAATCTCATTTAAAAAATAACCACCCTTATCACGTTGGCAGTACCGGAAAAGACACCCTTTTTGTCTATTTTGACTGAAATGGTAACCCTAAACGCGTAACGCGCGTTAACGTGCTTTTCTTTAAGAAAAAAAAAGCTTACTTCCCAATGAAACACCGTTCTTCTGCACAAGTGTTAATTACAGAGTAATTATACGTTATTTATCTGAACTAAATACTGCGTTTTGTAAATGATTTGCCAAGCTATTTGTAATGGTAAATTCTAGGCCATATAATATGTATATTAATATCAGGAGAAAAGAGTGTATACATTAGGCATTATTTGATAGGAATGAGTTGGCATATTCTGCTGACTAGCAATACCAATCATAATTGGTCTAAACAATATAATTAAGAAAAAAATGAAAATATTGACACAGATAATTGCTTACAATTACATTTTGGCGTGAATATAATCAGATAATCTTCTTAACAGATGCAAACATTATGAAAATAAAAGGCGGCATTTATTTAATAAACCATGGTAGCTACCAAAGGAGCAAATTTCACGTTTCCACGCAAAAGTGAATCATAGATGTTTCCGATTTTTGTTCACGTTGCTGTTTGGCAACATTTGAGCGGGACAGCGGCCTCAAGAGTTCTAATTCTTGAACCTTAAATTTACGTTTGCACCGCTGAGGGCGGTAGAATGAGAACATTGACCTGAGTGATCGACCTGGGTTCCGTCTGCCATTCTTCGTTTCAGTTACCTTCGCTTCTCTACATTTGTTTGACAGTGATATATGGTCCTCGTTTGATCGTAATATAGTTTTATTATACAATCTGATCATTTTAAACTGGTTTAAAATATTTCAACCTGAGTCGTTCAAGACGCCAGTGACATAATGACTGACACGAGTGCTGTCACCACCTCATGCGGTACAACCTCACCATTTGCCGGTTGAAAAATATATTTTCTTTCTAAATTCGGCTGTTCGGTGTTAAAATATTTCCATCTGCTGCACGGTACGTCGTTCTGATTACGTCAACAAAGGCTTTGAAGTTTGAGGTTTGTTTTTATTGCCATTACGATGATAATGCTAATCTAACATTCTGACAGTGTGAAGACTGGTGACCAGACAGTATACAACTCCACGTATACAGAAAACAATACGGTGTAAGACAACTCATTATTGGGACCGTTTTACCAATTTATCACTTCCGCTGACGAATCTCAATTCTGAAAGTCCCGTAACCAACATCTGATGTGCGAGTAGGACAAGAGAATTCAGACTTATCCAGACGGCAACAAGTCGTGATTTTAAGAATTTCCGGTAAGTGTATTCGGACTACAAAAACGCGTGTGGCATCAACTGTCAGTGTCAAGTATCAATCAAATATTGATTTGAAATAATCTGAAATTATTATACGATGTCATTTTTGACAGCTGGTGAACAGACGAATTTAAACAGTTGACATATTTTAACTGATACTCGTTTGTAATTGCATGTTCTCCCTACTGTTCTTGTTGTGACATATATTAATACAAGTTGCATATTTTTTTTTTTTGGTACCCATCTTAGTTATGTTAGGTTAATAATATGAGGTTATTACGAGGATACCGAAAAGTGTGCACGAAGACAGTACAATGTGAGTATTGACAAACGTGTAGTGGTGGTTGATGTGACCGTGTACTCGTGCATACTTTTCGTTATCCTCGTAATAACCTTATTATTATTATACATCTTTTCCTCCCATAAAAACATATACCGCAAAACTACGGCACGCTGTAACTGTAACAGATGTATAATAAGTATCTTTACATTGATCGACTATCGGGGGAAATTTGTATTTCCTGCCAAACAAAAAGAAAACAGAAGACATATCATTTGCAGATAGTTAGATAGATATTTTATTTGACACAAAATTTAGTATGAATGAAAAAAAAAAACATACAATAAATCAATAGTCAAGAAAAACAAACAAAAAATAGACTAAACAAAAGCTTAGAAATAAAATCAATAAATTTCCCCAAGCAATGAAGCTATCTTTAGTGCCTAGCAAGCACTTAAATTTCCCAAGAGTTGATAACTTACAAATGTTGTCATTATAAATATATTAGCATATGTTAACACTCTGTATTGTGTAAAGCCTTCAGTTGTTTTTATGAGGAAGTCAAAAACATGAAATATTTAATACATTGTCAATACCATATATTATTGAATAGAGACACATCTTCAGTAGATTTTTATATAAACCAAAAATTGAATTTATTATATGCTAGATCATTAAAATATGGCTTATTAGTTACGATCATATGCAGCTCGTTAGAACAAACAAAGAGGTCAAAAGTGTTGGCTTATGCTGAGAAAACATGAATGAATTCATAATTATTCGATTGGATATGCCATTTAAGACGTTTCAATCAATGCAAGCACATCCAGAGACATTTTTCTCAAGAAAAAATGGACTGACAATGAAATTCTGTACTACTACAGTTTACTCTGCAATCTGCATATTCTGAATTTGTTTTGGTATTATTTTATATCCGTAGAATTAACATGTACCGTATACCTTCAAGTTATAATCATAGTAAAAATGATTTTTTGTATATTCTTAACAAGTTCGGGCATTCAACCCATGCTAACTGTTGTTCCTGTGCATGAATGCAACAGGGTATAGCCGATATGCAAATGTTTGACATTAGCTTAAATCTTAGCCCAAACTTGTAGCCTGAATATGACAATTTTGACCATGGATAAATCTGTGTGACCTCTGATCCTCGTACAGGTTGATTGCCATTCTATAAATTCCTAACATGGCTGCAATCAGAGTCATGTGAACTCCAGATCACAGTCATCGCCTGTATTTTAATTTCGCTATTGGTCTCACCCCTAATACTGTTATTTTCAGTATCAGTGTAGAATCCGATAGTGGAATTGACAGATAATCTGCATGACTTTGGCTGCATCCCAAACAATTGAATAAAATTTCAGCAGCTACACTCATTCCAAAGTCCATTCAAAATGACAGTATTTGCATTCTGAAATCTCTCAAATATATATGATGATTATTATATAATGGGCATCTTGTGAACTGATTGGTGTGAAATGACTGGACATTTGCAAATTTTTACATATTTTAATCATTAATTTAAAAAAGGCATTCAATACATGCCAATTTAATAAAGACGACTGACTCCTGATGTAAACCTCAATTAAATGCTCACTGTTATAAAATCTTGCATTTCTTCAAGATGAATTTCACAAAAAATTTTACTTATCAACATTTTCACACTTTATAATTGCTTTTTTCATAACAATGTGTAAAAAAATGATTTCAGTAAAGTTGTATGAACATAGAGAGTAGACAAATTTCAATAATGATTTTGATTTAAATTTTTTATTGTATTGAATCGAAATTATGTGTTTTTAGTGTGTAAAAAATTAAGGAAGAACATTTATTTGAAGTTTTTGTTTGTTTGACATTTCTTTCTTTTGTATAGAATCTTTGCTCTTGATTGAAGAAGGATGACCTCTACACGTGACAAAACTATGATGATTATTCCAATAATAATTGACCACGAATAAATTAATTAAAACAAATACAAGAATTCAATTTAATTATAAAATATACTGCACCAGTATATGTTCTCAAACTAGCTAACATTTTGTGCACGTTTTGGCTAGAACTGGTGGCTCGTACCCGAAAATAAAATTATAGCATAGCTTCTTGCTTTTGTATTTGATTATACACGTATGCATTAATTCCTGATAATTAAACAACTAATGGGCAATGTTGTCATAGTAGATTATAAACTTTTACTGATCAGTGGGCTCATTTGTTTTCAGACTTTCGTAAGCCGATTGGCACATATGACGTCACAATGCAAAAGTCTATAGTGTAATCTTATTTCAACCCCCCCCCCCTCCTCCATCGTTTTGTCCAACTTTTGATTTATATAATATAAAAATATATGCCATGTTTGGATTATTGATACACTACGTACTACAGAACTGGAGCCAAAATAAATAACTGGTAACTATGGCAGCTGCAATTTGTAGCAAATCTGTTTACCATCAAAATACTGTTATACTAAATATTGGTAACATTTGTGTCATAACCATTGGACTGCACATGTTCAAATTTCAGTTATTAAACAATGTGTTTTACATGCCTTGTATAGGAACCATATTAAACCGTGACATGTTATTTGAGATGAGTGTTGGATATGTCTATGAATATGAATAGTCTAACTATTTCAGGGTTATTATAGCCGGAAAATGAAAATTGCCTGTCTAATTGTATTAAAATGAAAGATGACAGTCTAGTCTATAGACTATTTTGTGTTTCATATTTATGCTAATATTGTGAATTATACAGAATTTTTAGAGATTTAACTTGACTGAAATGTGGAGTACATTTCTAGTTGCTTACATGACAGCTAGACAGGTGGCTGGCTGAAATGACAGCTAGACAGGTGGCTGGCTAAAATGACAGCTAGACAAATGGCTGGCTAAAATGACAGCTAGACAAATGGCTGGCTAAAGTGACAGCTAGACAGGTGGCTGGCTAAAATGACAGCGAGACAGGTGGCTGGCTGAAATGACAGCTAGGCAGGTAGCTGGCTAAAATGACAGCTAGACAGGTAGCTGGCTAAAATGACAGCTAGACAGGTAGCTGGCTAAAATGACAGCTAGACAGGTAGCTGGCTAAAATGACAGCTAGACAGGTGGCTGGCTAAAATGACAGCTAGACAGGTGGCTGGCTAAAATGACAGCTAGACAGGTGGCTGGCTAAAATGACAGCTAGACAGGTAGCTGGCTAAAATGACAGCTAAACAGGTGGCTGGCTAAAATGACAGCTAGACAGGTAGCTGGCTAAAATGACAGCTAAACAGGTACTAGTAGGTGGCTAAAATGACAGCGAGACAGGTAGCTAGCAAAAATGACAGCTCGACAGGTGGTTGGCTTACATGACAGCTAGACAGGTAGGTGGCTAAAATGACAGCTAGACAGGTAGCTGGCTAAAATGACAGCTAGACAGGTGGCTGGCTAAAATGACAGCTAGGCAAATGGCTAGCTGAAATGACAGCTAGACAGGTGGCTGGCTGAAATGACAGCTAGGCAGGTGGCTGGCTGAAATGACAGCTAGGCAAATGGCTGGCTGAAACGACAGCTAGGCAAATGGCTGGCTGAAATGACAGCTAGACAGGTGGCTGGCTGAAATGACAGCTAGGCAGGTGGCTGGCTGAAATGACAGCTAAACAGGTGGCTGGCTGAAATGACAGCTAGGCAGGTGGCTGGCTAAAATGACAGCTAGACAGGTGGCTGGCTGAAATGACAGCTAGACAGGTGACTGGCTGAAATGACAGCTAGACAGGTGACTGGCTAAAATGACAGCTAGACAGGTGACTGGCTAAAATGACAGCTAGACAGGTAGCTGGCTAAAATGACAGCTAGACAGGTGACTGGCTGAAATGACAGCTAGACAGGTGACTGGCTAAAATGACAGCTAGACAGGTGGCTGGCTGAAATGACAGCTAGACAGGTAGCTGGCTAAAATGACAGCTAGACAGGTGGCTGGCTAAAATGACAGCTAGACAGGTAGCTGGCTAAAATGACAGCTAGACAGGTGGCTGGCTAAAATGACAGCTAGACAGGTGGCTGGCTAAAATGACAGCTAGACAGGTGACTGGCTAAAATGACAGCTAGACAGGTGGCTGGCTAAAATGACAGCTAGACAGGTAGCTGGCTAAATGACAGCTAGACAGGTGGCTGGCTGAAATGACAGCTAGACAGGTAGCTGGCTAAATGACAGCTAGACAGGTGGCTGGCTGAAATGACAGCTAGACAGGTAGCTGGCTAAAATGACAGCTAGACAGGTGGCTGGCTAAAATGACAGCTAGGCAGGTGGCTGGCTAAAATGACAGCTAGACAGGTGGCTGGCTAAAATGACAGCTAGACAGGTGGCTGGCTAAAATGACAGCTAGACAGGTAGCTGGCTAAAATGACAGCTAGACAGGTAGCATTAGCATCCAGCATTAGGATTGGGTAATTGAGTTCCAGCATCATGATTGGTTGAATTACAACATTATACTTGGTTAAATTCCAGGGTTATGATTGGTTGAAAATTCAGCATTGTGCTTTGTTGAATTCAAGCATTATGATTGGTTGAATTCAAGCATCATGATTGGTTGACTGTCAGCATCATGATTGGTTTAATTCCAGGATTACGATTACTTAAATTTCAGGATTTTGCGTGGTTCATGGCCACAGTTATATTATTATATTAACATTGGAATAAAATCAACTTCAAGTCATAATGATATGAATAAAGAGATTTGTTGGCCAAATATGGCACACAAGCTGAAGAAGTAGAATGTTTTTAATGAATGTGTGAAATTAAATCAATGTATTTAGTAATTTATTTATTTATTCAATAACAGCACACATATTAACTGTAGCTTGGCAGAATCCTATGTACATGCATAATGTACCACATGTCACAGACAATGTGACAGTCAACAGCTGGTACAAAGCATTTTTATTAAAACTTAGTTTTTACCTTCGGTATAAACTCACAGCTTTTGTAAAGGAGTGATTGTCTAGAGTGCTGACGCACAGACACACGCACACACCTCACGCAATGTTTGTGTGGAACATTGTGTTCATTCTGCTTAACACTGGATTTAAAAGGTTGGAAAAATTGACCTCTTCATTTGCTTTTATTATGACCTTATTTTGATCACATTGATGTATACATGTACCTCAGTCATTGTGTATTAGACTTGTACCATTTTGTTAGAATCAATTGATCATTTAAACTGTATTATATTAATTATGGTACTTTTATTAATTCTTGTTAGTAATATCGTTATTTTCTTATTTGTTTCCTTAGATTTAGTATTGGTGAAGGGAAAGTAAATATTTTTTATAGACTATGTTTCTGTTTATAGAACTGTGAATTGTAAAATGTAGACTGTTTTATTCGTGCCCACCCAGGTTAATGAATTGTAATTTTAAGTGATGGTACCAGTTTTTGTTCACCTCAGTGTTTTCCAGCTATTGTAATTGACAGGGTCTTACTTATCTGCAACAGTTTTCAATCCAGTGTTCTTGTAATTAGTGGTTTGTTACCTATATACAACACACAATTCATGCAGAATAGGTTTTGCTACCTAGGTATATATATTCTAAACACTGCAGTATGGCTACAGTATGGTCCAAGCATTACTTAATATTTACCTTGCTTTAAGCTGGGTTAAGTGTAGCTTAGCTTGCGTTCAAAACTGCTATATAATTAGGTATTCCGAGCAATCTGCCTAAATATGTCTCATTACAAGTATTTTTTTATAAACACAGAACAACCCTCTGAAGGGATGTTAAAGTTGAGATGAAGTACACAAAATACAGTTTAAAAACTTAGAACAATTAAGGTGTGTCTATATGTTGCCTACATACTGATATAAACTTGGCTACCAATCACTATCAGTATCGACATGTGATCACACTGCCCATGAGAAATTCAAATATATTTTTAATTGAAAAGAATTTATCAATAATTTTGTCAGCGTCTGAAAACAAGACATTATGAAATGTTGTTCATCTTCTATGTTGTTGCCTTCACTGTTCACAGATCCTACATTATTATGGCGACCACATTAAATTTTTAGGTAATAATACAAATGATGCAAGACTTTTCAGTTGATTAATTTTGTAGACTACAGCTGTGGATCATTAAAAGTGCTTCAAAACAGCTGTAAATCAACCATAACTTGTAACTCCTAAACTTGAGTCCATGTTCTATGATACACTCATGTCTATTTTATAATCTGCACTTTTTAGCAACAATATTTCCAATTTTAATGCATCGCCAATCTCATAAAAAATAAAGTCATTTGTTGACAAATATATAAAACACATAACTGTTACTTTGTTTAGTCATTATGATACTTGCAATATGCGAAATGAACTTTGATTGATGGCATAACTCACTGGTCCTGTTTAGTATGTACACCATTATTAGTCCCCATCGGGCGTAGTTCATAACAGGGACTTATGTTTTGGGTTCCATATGTCCATCCATCCGTGCGTCCGTTGTCATTTCTCAGAGATGCCTGGATGGATTTCCTTCAAAGCTGGTACAAAGACAAGTCATAATATGAGAGACATGTGCACATAAATTTATTTTTGATTTGATTGACCTTTGATCGACTAGCGGCCATTTTTGTCCCAAAAATCAACATTTGTACATGTCATCAACCATTTCGTGGACATGCCTTGACCGATTTCATTCAAACTTTAATAGTCTTTATACCTGTTTTATGCACATTTGTAGTTAAAATGCTCAATACTATCCCAATATTTAAACATAATCTGACTATTATTTCATTGTCTGACAACGTCACTAAAAACATGACAGGGACTACAGATGTCATTGACAATGACTTGTTCTGTCAGTGTTCTTCACATGCAATGCTTGATTCAAACAATTTATCGTTTTCACAAAAAATATTTTGTATCAAGTAATACCATATTTAATTGTCCATCAACAGTGGATTTGTACGCACACCAGATGGCAAAGTTCACGGTGAGATTTTCCATTGTGCACACTGAAGGCAGATATGGATTCCATTGTTATTGGATTTAGAATTTTGTTTTCAATCTGATATATAATGGATCCACTGTGTAAACTGTAATTATATCATGGATTAAAAAAAAAATATTTTTACTTATCGGTAATAGAACATTTAAATTACTATATAGGGTAAAACTATGACCATTAAATATGTGTGTTTGTTTGAGTATTTGGGTCATGTACATGTATACTCTATGTGAATGGTCATATGTTGTCATTTTATTGGTACACACCATTCTGTTGATTATTAATTTAAGTTGGTGTAAAGCCTATGATTTGAAATTTCCAAAAGATAATGAAAGAAAATTGTTGGAAATGTAAAAGTTTCATACTGGTTATATTTCTTTATCTGTACAAACATTTGTTTAAATATTCTGCTTACGATGGATGCAATAATAATTTTGTGTGTGAATGAAGTATAAATTACATATGTATATATACATCACTGAATTTTCTAATACATGATTGTACTGGGAAGTCCCATGTATTACCTCAGTAAAATACATAGCTCTGATTGGATGTGCCTATAAGTATGTGTCCAATCAGAGTTGCCGAGGCTTATGGCAATGGCAGTTGTTAAAATTTATTTAAAAATACACATGGTGAACAGAATATGTCATGTATATTGTTGAGACGATGGCTGAGTAAAGATGCAGCACTGAATAAAAATGATTTCCCACTAAACCAGTTTTTATGAGCGTATTCAGATCTATATCTTCTCTATATAAATATGGCTTCAATCGGAATAACTTGCATAATAGTGATATGATGAAAATATCCAAAAGCATGCACTGTACAAAACATGGAAAACCACCTCTATTATTGGGGGGGGGGGGGTGTAATGATGTTGTTATCAAATAATGCCATGTTTATGGTCTAGTAGTAGGTTTTTTTCCAAATATAAAAGGTTCAAGAAAATTTTGGAAGAAACAAGTCAACAATATTTATTCTTGTCTGAAAACAATATGCAATGCAGGAAATATCAGCTAGATTAATTAATCACATTTTTTATATGTTTTGTTTTTATTTTCAGAATCAATTATCACAGAAAAATGGTTGTCGGTAAAAAGGGCTGGTGCGATCAGACGGTGTTATGTCAGTGGGCCATGAACAATCTCTTACTACTGCTCACTTTAATTGGCGTGATTGTCGGATTCCTATTGGTGCTAATTATGAGGGTAAGGTTGCTATGGTAATATAAACATGCAATAAAATGTACAATAAACCTTCACATCTGTTACCTCACTGATGCACGCTTCTCAACTATGACATATGGTATTTCCATGGTCAAGATAAATAATACCAGATTCTGCCGTAAAATTCACCCATCCGAAAAATCGCCCTGAGCGGTTTCATGGCTGGTGGGCCTTTATTTGGGGTTCAAATTTTCAAAAAATTATCATCAAATATTTTTAGGGGGCTTATATTTTCAATGCAGTTGGACCACCCGAAACGAAAAAAACTATTGCAGAATTAGTTGTTTTCAAAAGATAAACTGAGCATTTGAAGAATAATTTAACATTGTTTACAGCGATAACAGCTCATTGTCAAAACAAAGCTAACCCATTCATGCTAGTCGCAATAAACATCAATACTCTTGAATAGGCGTCAATGACTACGGTGAAACTTTTAGGCATCAGAAAAAAATTCAAAATAACACCTTAAAACTACCGAAAAATCACCCTGGGCGGTTTCTTGATCCCAATTTATTTATTTTTAAACCCAAACTGCCGTTTAACGCCCTAGGTGAATTAAAGGCAGAATGCGGTATTTAATGAGTCAGTATAACAGATGCATTTTTTAGTTTATGTGTACTTTATTGGAGATCTACTTCTAATAAAATCAGTTACTTTATGGTTTTCTTTGTGTCATTAGTTTATGATTCCTAGCGTTGAGCATTCTAATTTGCATAAAATATCATAAATTTTAAGAGGTATTTATACAAATTAATCCTAATGAGTCACTGGTCGTTACACTTTGCCTCAAGTTTCCTTATGTTTCTTATAATAGTTATAGTTGTATAGACTATAGATATAAACTTAGTCTTTAAAGCGTGGTGGTCGTCGCGCAGCGTGTGTTCGAATTTCATGTAAATAAA